TAAAATAATGATTAGCTCATGATTGATTCAATGGACGACATAATTTACCCGTATAGTCGCTAAAACTAAAATTTACACACATGTTCATAAATTACTTAAATTCCCATGAAGAGAATAACAAATACATACTGATTCATCTAACCTTAGATAATTATGGTTTTCTGTATGTTTGATTTATGTCCAGTCATTGATAAAATACTATGGATTTACAATAAAAATTTTACAGGACATTACATTGTTATCAAATAAACATGATCTATAAAATTTATGGGTCAATTCTACCTGGTCACATTTTGTTTTATTCTCCCACTAAATTGAGAATTGAGTATATTTGAGCAAAGCGATTGGTTTTACTTTTTTTTAAAAAAATGTCCCAACAAAGAAGACACAATGGTTCATAATTCATAAATTTCGATTATCAGTTCCAAGTATTTTAATATCCCTCACCAGTTAAACACTTTTGAAAAAAAAGAAAATTCGTCAGATGATATTCATGACGATCACCATTTGGTGTTTGTTGATCAGACTAGAATATTATCAACAGACAGACAGATACAACACAGAACTTCGTGCGTACGTACATCACTTCAAGTTGCCATACCACACTAGCATAGAGACGCAATTGTCAAATCAAATCCCATAGTGGTAGAGATAGTAGAAGTATTAGCAGTAAGATAGAAGATTAGGGTTCTAAGATGTGATGCGAAAAGTATAATTCAGTGAGGTAACTTTAGAAAGAGAAAGAGATGATGAGGAATTATTCTGAGGATTAGAATTTGATAGAACACAAAGAGTGAATTCACCCACGCTATTGCAAACGATTTTGAGCCATGTCACTCAGGGTCTCTAACCATCGATCACTATCGTCTCGCGGACCATAACCGGGTAGCCTACATCTACCAACATGACTCACTCCAATAGTCAGTGACTACACCGATTTCTGCCACGTTTTTGTTTGTCCGTCCCTAGCTTTCTTCCAACCTATTCCTAAATCACAAAACATAGCTCGAGGAGGCAGTCGGTGGTTAGGTCCCAACCACCTCAACTGATAAAGTTTCAAACTTTATCTATTAATTTACTTTAAGACAGGATTGCTTACTTGGTTGTCCTAGGATATACGAGACACCTATGATCAAAAACAAGCATCTACGAATATCTTCTACTCGTACTGGCCATGTTTTTCATTCGTAAATTAGAACGGAGCTAACTGCTGAGCAGTAGACTCATCCTTTGGTTAGCAAACGGATATCTCGCCTGCGTCATAGGTGACGCAAGTTGGCAAAAGCCAATCGAGCTTCCTGTATCCGTGCTGAGATTTCTTCAGCCACCAGGCCATCAGCACTGATGAGACTCCCAAGATAAGTGAAGCAGTCGACACTCTCAAGTACTTCACTCCTTATCATTAGTTTAGGTACCGAGGCAAGCCAATTTTCAAGCAACATTTTGCATTTCGAGGGGGAAAACCGCATCCCGAACATGCTTGCATTGTTGCTTAGGTTAGTCAGAAGACTCTGCATTTTGTCAGCGTCTTCATTCAATAGAACTATGTATTCAGCATATTCCAAGTCAGCAAGCGTGAATCCTGGTAAAAGGTTCACTCCTGAAGCGTCAGACGATGATAATTTTAATTCTAAATCATATCTCCGACAAATTTAAACAAGAATGGAGAGAGTGGGCTTCCCTGACGGACACCACTTGAAGTAACTAATTCCGATGATAGTTCGCCATAGATGTCTGCTGCTTCTCCGAAATACGCTCACAGGATCCTATTAAAATCATTAATTTGATTTCACTTTTTTGAAATAAAGAACCGATTTGATTTTTTCTTCATGTATCTGGAATTCCTGATGATTTTTTCCAAGTACCTCGCTGGTGTAGGTATAGCATTGAGAATATTATCAACAATGAACAACTGATTAGGTGATTGTGAATGTTTAGACTCCAGTTTGAAAAACCAAGTCGATATCAGGAGGCTGATATCACGGTTGAAGTGAATGCTCAATAATTAATTCCACTCTTATCAAGTCCTTTCTATCTTGTAGTACATTGGATACATTTAAGTTCATTCATACTTAATTTGGTTAAGCCCTTTTTAACTTATTTAACAGACAGAGTTATTCGTATAGCAATAACTTATACGTACCATTGTGCTTTTATTATTGTCGCATTTGTATGAGCAGTTATTATTAAACATCGCCTACCGTCTACGTGTATAGTCTCTTAAATAATTCGATGACTCATTCATTTTCCTGTAAATATGTAGGTCTTATTTATTCGTTCATTCACTTGCACTGGCATATCGTTTTGCTTCGCGTGCCTGTGGTTTTGTGATCTGCGTGCGATGCAATAATAAACGTCTCCAACGCTTCGTATTCGTCTTCTGACTTATACACCGTTGAGCGTTATCTAGTAACGGTTATTAGGAAGAGCAGTATACAAAGTCTAAGAAGTTATAATGAACACCGACTACTACAGAACTGATGAGCCCACATCCACCACAATCTCATCGGTAGATCATAATTATATAGTATTGGCTAAATACTTTGTTCACAAATGATATCTATAATTTCTCATTATATTTTCGATCAGATTATCAATAATTTCCTTTTTTAAATTTTATTTATATTTTGAACGATTTCGGATGTATAAATGTCGAGGTGTAACTATTCGAATTTTATTTTACACTGATTGACTATCGAATAGTAATCAATGTCATGATTTTTTTTATTTCTGAATGCGAGTAGAATTCAATCAGTCAAGTTGAACTGTAACTACTAGTCTAAATGAGAAGACATCGAGAATGATTACTAATCAGTAATCAATTTAAGTATCTTAATCTTACAACAAGTTGGTCGATGTCCAAACATAGACAGTGAGCACTAGTTCCCCTAAAATTCTGTCTAATAGGTAACTCGAACCTTATGTTCAGACTTTCTTGTAGGTTGCCTTCAATCATCTAACATAGGATTTTATTCCATTTATGGCAATTCAAAATGTGATTAGCTTCGTGAGGAAATTCTCGGAGTTCTAGTTGAGAAGACGTGACCAATGGAGTTCAACCCTGTCGTGTGTAGGAAGTAACTACAAAAGGCAAATGGGTGAGGTCGCGCAAAATCCCTAGATCAATCAGAGTTAGACATTCACACCGTTAAATGCCGGCCCAGTGGTCCGATGCTTAGGCGTTCGCGCACAATGCCGAAGGTCGTGGTTTCGGATCATGCGAGGTGCAGGAGTCGTGGATGCGCACTGCCACTGATGAGTCCCATACCAGGACGAAACGGCCGTCTTTCAGTGCTTCCAGGTTTCTAATGGTGGTCTAACATTGATTCATTGATTATTTCAAATGTGTAAAACACAAAGCTCCAAAACTCTGCCCGAAAATTCAGATTGTGAGACGTAGACCGAAATCGATTGATATGATATGTAGAACCAGAAGTTTTAATTTTTATTTATTCATTTATTACGACAACAGACAACTAAATACTTCTAATCGTAGATAACGGTTATGATTAGAAAAAAAAATACTGTCATCGAATGATAAAGGTCTTTGTTTGATTGATACCAACGTGACATACAATTGTAATTATCCTATTTAGAAACAATTTTTTGTAACATAACCTCCGGGTGTTTTTGTTTTTGTTGGAGGATTGTGGATAAAAGTGGAATGTAGTGTGTGCATTCCGTCCCATTTAGGACTCGTTACCTGAATGTACCTGAATTCTGATATTGATGTTAGTGGATATTTGAACTCAGCAGCTTTATGGATAAGGCTTTGGCGTTTAAATCGAAAGGTACTGAGTACGAATTTCAGTGTAAATATCCACACTAGATCGCAGGCATATCCTGTTGAAAAGCCCCGTGAATCTCATATTCCAATGCTAACCACAACCATCCAATAATTCGATTTTAAACAGTTTTGTGACATAAATACAAGGTCTTTAGCGTGTACTACTGTAAAGTCTCAAACTACATCAAGTCAGTCATCCAGTTCTCACTACTTGTACTTTTTCCTTCACTGTGTGATTGTAGTGCCTCCACATAAAATTGAGTTCGCTCACATTTAATTTGATTAAGCCTTTCGATTAACTTATGTAACCAAGCCATTTGTATATCAACAACCCATATGTACCATTGGTATTTTTTATTGTGTGGTTTGTATGAGCTTGTACGACTGAGCATTGCTTACCGCCTATGCGCATATTCATCCTATTCGCTTTAATGTTCGTCTCTTAAATATCACGATGACTCAGATATCTTTCTATGTGTATATACGAACATTTTAATCTTATTAATTCACTCGCACATTCGCCCATTCACTCGCTAGTGTGCCTGCCCAGTCTTCTTGTGGTCTGCTATCCCTATCTGTGGTGTACCAAAATAAACGTATTTAACACTTCGAATTCGCTTTCTGATTTATAAATCGTCAGATGCTATTCAGTAACAATTGTCTGGACGAGCTAATTACGAAAACTAAGAACACGTAGAAATTGGCCACCACATGTGATGACGACCACAAGTCTATATAAAAAAAAGTCAAGTCTTCTTATAAAATTTAACAACTTAACTGTGCAACTGTACAGAATTTGTAAAAATTTACTAGTCACATTGTGATATTGTTAATATTCGATGTATTCAGAACATTTAGATATTTATATTGACTGATTACTAGTAATGACCAGTGTTATGCTGATCAAATCTTTTTTGAATATTCATTGAATTGCATTGATCAAGTAAAATAATATGACACAACTAGTCTAGATGACCGGACATCATTACATGCGCTATGCTTTACATGTTAGGCAGTTGTAGAATTTCTTGTCGGCTGCCTACCAAATCGTCAAACGACGATGGATAGATCAATTTTATTGATATTAATTGAGAAATCGATTGATATTTAACATTCAGTGATCTCAATATATGTGTATGACTTTGATTTTACTTAGATCATACGCCAATGACAATGAATTTTTTTTAAAAATGATTTTCTAACTATTGTAGAAATGAATTTATCTGAACAAGGTTATCATCATTATAGCTTATCACCTTCTAAAACAACATTAAATTTACAAATTTCAAATTCTTCCCTGTCGCTAAATACAAATCAAACAAAACATGATAAATTCAGTATTAATGAATTAATTCAATGTTCAACAAATTCAATATCTGAGTTAAATTGTTTTAAAAATCATATTATTGTAAATAGAACAAATCAAGATGATAATAGTCATCGTAATAGTGATAATAGTAATAACATAGGTTTAATAAATTTTAATCATACTGTTAAATTACCAAATGTGGCAAATTCATCAACTCCATGCGTAAAACATTCTAATGTAAATATGATTGAAAAAACACAAAATTTCTGGAGTAGTCCCGAATGGCAAGTTTTAAAGCATCGTCTTAAAGAACATTTAAATCATATTCATGACAGAACAATCAATAATTCAAGAATGGAAGTAGTAACTAATCAACCAATGAATGATAAATCAGTAATAACAACAACAACAATATTCGAAAATCCGAAACTATCAGATAGCAAAACATCCATGATTAATGTAAGTCAATCAGATTTTAAATATCATCCTTGTAACAATTTAGATTTACAATTTTGTATACAATCAGAATCAAGTGCATTTCGTCCAGTTCAAAGTAGACAAATACCTTCTACATATGTTAATATCAAACCTACTATGATTACTAATACAGGTTTAAAACAATTCAATTCATATATGTACATAGATAAATTTCCCAGTGTTCCTAATTCATTTCAACAATCACAAACATTTACTTCACAAACAGATCCACTATATTCTAAACATAATATTATCAATGATAGAGTTACGAATTCCTCTATACAATCTTTACATACTACACTTGAATTAAATCATTCTAAACAATTATATGATTCATTCAAAGGAACTACATTCAATTCTACCATTGAACAATTGAACAAAATAACATCACCAGTCATATCATCAAATACTCATCATCAAATTACTATTACTGATATTGATGAAAGTAAACAGTGTGAATTCAGATCATCCGCTAAATTTTCAACATTCAATACGACATTATTGACAACAACAACAACCACAACCACGACTACGACATCCTCTCTATTAGATCAACAGAAAAAACAAAAAAGATCAAATTTTAATAAGAAATGTCAAAAATGTGTATGTTTCAATTGTCAAGAGGCGCGCAATAGGAAGAAATCGATTGATTACAATGCTAATAACAATAAGCATGCCTTGAACAATTTCAACATTGAAACATTGAATTTAACTAATCAAAAATCAATACATAAAACAATGCATCTATGTAATTTATGCGGTAAAACTTATAGTAAAACAAGTCATTTAAAAGCTCATTTAAGATGGCATAATGATGAAAGACCATTTCAATGTATTTATGAATTATGTAATAAAGCATTTACTAGATCCGATGAATTACAACGTCATCTACGTACACATACTGGTGAAAAACGTTTTATATGTAATTTATGCAATAAACGTTTTATGCGTAGTGATCATTTAAGTAAACATCGTAAAACACATGAAGTAGACAGAGGGAATTTATTGAAAACATTGAAAATGTAACAGATTACTGGAACAATTGATCAGGAGCTTATATATATATATATATATATATATATATATATATATATATATATATATATATATACTTATTTTTAAAATATCAATATATATAGTTCGTTGACCTTGAAATAGGTCACTGATGATACCACCACCACCTCAATAATACATTTATTTTTTTAAAAAAAATATTATATTCTATTGTACAAATTATTTTTATATATGTAAATGATTTTAATTCAGCTTGTAATTTTAATTAATTTTTATTTTAAAAAGAAATTCAAGAGAAAATTTCGTTAAAATGTTTTATTTGAATATTAGTATTGAAAAATAGTACTGTATGCATTAACTCATGGTTATGCAACTCGAGTATTCGGTTTTTCTTTTTCATTATTAATCTATAGATTTTAAAATTGGACTATCTAGTTTAGTTATGAAGAGTTAGGTTGTATTGTTTATCTACACAAACGACAGATGATTTGAAGTCAAATATACTGATGTCTATTGGTTAATGAGTCATATCAGATGATTTAAAAAAAAATCTTATTTCATTGTTTATATGCTGAGTGAACCAGGCTAATACATAATTTAAGAGGCTTTGGAATGATTATCAGACTGGTTTACAGAAATATTGTTTGTGGTCTTTTTGAAAAAAAGAGTTTCGAAAGAATTTATCACCCCTTATTCTAAAATAATCTTACTCACTGTTGAACAATAAATACTCGTTGAAAAATGGTAGCAAACATCAGATTCCACTGATTGTGTATTAATTTGGGTCAAGGTGATATCGATTTGATGAGTTATTATAGTTTCTAGTAGTATATATATAACTATAGACAATCATGTTTGAAAATATCGAAACAATTTTTCTAACAATCTAGCTTGTTATTTTAGTGGAAAATAAGTATGTTATAAGAAGAATAGACTGAAAACCTGAAAAATATCATGTGATTACTTACGGATCAGCTTCTGATTGTTCAGTCTTATTCATTTTGATTAATCTACCGAGGTAGAGTTGATGTTGAACATCAAAACGTAGATCATAACGTCTAGTTAAATCCAATATATCTCCTATTTAGGATCCATCAGCCAGATGTAAATCCATTTTAATGTTAATTGATATGCATCTTGAGATTTTAAACGTCAATGATTTTTTTCCCATTTAACTACTAAGTTTGGATTTAAGACAGTTTCGTGGCACTCTAGTCAAGATTTACATGTAACACTAGAGATTAATCAATTCTAGTTCTGGATAATAACAGCAAGACTACAAAACTTTACTGAGAATTGCATAACTCATACTTACTAATTAGCGGTAACAGAATAATTGATAACATATGTCGTTATTTATCAAAGGACTATTAAAAAAACCAAAGAACAACTGTTTTTCCTTAGTTTTAAACTCATTGGTATGAAACTCTAAAGATATCAAACGACGATGAATAATCAGAACTTTTAGGTTTTTATGGTAAACATAACTAAATTCAAAACAGTGAGTTGTAATTTAGTGGTTTACATTTTCAAAATTTATTAGATTTTACACCATTCCGAGGCCTGTATCAAAACTCAAGGATGTGCACTGGCTTCTTATTTCCCTAAATGACTCATTCCATTGACCTTGATGCTTCTTATCCAGATCTTCTTTTTATATTATTCTTTATCAGCTACCTTTTAATTTCCTTTCACTATACTATACAGCGTCACTTATGGCGAAGGCGAGATATCCGTTTGCTGACTAAAGAACAAGTGTACTACGCAGCAGTCCACTCCATCCTACTTTATGGCTTTGAAACATGGCCAGTAAGAGAAGAGGATATTCGTAGGTTACTGGTTTTCGATCATAGGTGTCTCCCAAGCATTGCTCGTATATCCTAGGACAGCCGAGTAAGCAAAGCTGTGGTTAGGTAAAGGGTACTAGGAAAGGATGGAAGATCAATAGATGAAGTATTGAAACTTCGTCAGTTGAGGTGGTTAGGACATGTGTTACGTATGCCTAAACACAGATCGCCTCGACGAGCTATATTTTGCCGTGCAGGAATAGGTTGGAAGAAAGCTAGGGGCGGCCAAACCAAAACATGGCAGCAATCCGTGAAATCATTGACAAGTGGACTGAGTCATGTCGGCAGGTGTCGACTACGTGGTTGGGGTCCGCGAGAAGATAATAATCGATGGTTAGAGACGTTGAACGACGTGGCTCAAAATCGTTCGCAATGGCGCACGTGCATTCATTCATTGTGTCCTTTCAAATCCTAACCTTCTGAATTCCTCATCACTATCTTTTTCGTTTCAAGTTTATTTCACTAGATTCTACTTCTTCAATGATATCTTCGAACTCTAATCTCTCTGATTACAGCCAATACCTTTACTGCCTCTACTACAGTGGGATTTGAATTGACAATTACATCACTTTGCTAATGTGGTATGGCAACTTGAACTGATGTAGGTACGTATGTACGAAGTTCTATGTTGCTGTTGATTGATTGATTGACTATAATATACACGTATATTAAATTATTCTAAGTTTATGAACTAGAATAAAGCAACTATCACTCCTTACACTACACACTGAATGGAAAAAATTTCATAGATAACTTTAACCCGTTTTACTTTCAAGTAACCCATAACAACAATTCTGTTTATATTTATTTTTTGTGTGCGACCACATTTTTAGCATTAATTTGTTTGAAAATATTGTTGTACCTTAACTTTTACTTGTATAAATATGTAAATATTATCACTTATGAATGAAAAAAAGCTGATGAATTTTCAAAGGTCAATATGTCGCATTTTCTTATTTATTTGTTTATGTAAAAGAGTTGAAGCATAATGAATTGTTGCTCAATTTGAAATTGCGTAATTCAAGCACTCTTAAATGCATATTAAATATAATCACTAAGTCAATTCCAACTAAAATATTATTTATAGAACATTGAACTTTGAATAGATCAATTATCAATGAATTTATTCAAAAACCAAAATTAAAAATTTTCTAAAGCAAATAAAGTAATTTCATAGGTTAAATAAATGATTCATCATTTAATATACTTATTTTTTGGAGGGATTTTGTAGAAATAAATTTGATGTGTAATTGATATTCACGATGGATCGGTTTCAGGTGAAGTATTATTAAACACACAAGAGAAAACAGAACAACGAGTTTGTCTACTGGTAAGGGATCCTATAATATGATGAAATAGATTTACAATTCACTGATGGTTTTACCAGTACCTCAAGTGAAGGTGATCTTTATTGAGTAATACCTATTAAGTGTGTGATGTATAACCTTAATATTTCAGTATGGTATATTTGATGATAACAGATCAACAGATATTAATCGATGAAGTAGTAAAACTTCATCAGTTGGTTGGGACATATGTTACGTATGCCTAACCACCGACTGCCTCGACGAGCTATTTTTTGTGGTGTAGGAATAGGTTGGAAGAAAGCTAGGGGCGGCCAAACCAAAATATGGCAGAAATACATGAAATCACTGACAAGTGGACTAAAGTTATCTCACTGAACTATACTTCTTGAATAATATCTTCCATCCCAAATACTCTCCATTACCGCTAATTCTTCTACTATCTCCCCCACTAATGGATTTGAACTGACAGTTGCGTCTCTGAGCTGATGTGGTATAGCAACCTGAAATGATGTACGCACGTACGATGTTTTACTTTGTAACTGACTGACATTAAAGAGTCTTACATAGAATACTGATTATATGTCTCTGGACTTAGATTAAACATTATAAAAACGCTCTAATTTACATTGAAGAAGCAACCACCTCGTGATTTGAAGGTTTCTCAAAAATTGATTTCCTATTTTAAACCAATCCTTTTACAATGTAAAAATTAACGGTGAACCGGTTTAAAAAAGAACAACTTTTATTGTTCATAAATTTTGTTATAATTCACAATGAAATTCATGTATACACATGTCTTGAATCTCATTGCTAGCTATTGTTTAACTGATAACCTGGAAATACAATGAATATTCTTTAAAGATAATAATTAAATTTTATCTTGAAATCCTAAATACAAATAGTTGTGGCAGTTATACATATTTAGATGTATATATCGTCTGAATGTTTGTAAATATTATTATTTTCTTAATATAAATTAGCCAAGTAACAACTGGAAATCATATAAAAATGTTATGTTCGTCAATTGATATTCTTGAAACTATTACGAGTTCGCCTTAGTCGGTAAACGAGAGCGAAGACAAATGATCCAGTGACATGATAGGCCAGTCTAATCCGAGCGTCCTTTATGCCTTACTAAATAGAGGAAGTAGTCTTGACATGACGTAAAAAATATATTCTACCAGCATCCAGAAAATATGAGGTTGCACAAGCACACAAATGGAGTTTATTTAGACATGATAGAAACGTCCTTGGTAGAGCCACAAAAATAGCGTACTAAATTAATACATCAATCAATTATAGTCAAGGATTTCTCGGGTAGGAAATGTAATCTTAAGGTCAACTGATCAGCCCATACGCGAAAGCATAAAAATCAAAAATCAGGACCTTTATCAAGTGAGTTCTGGGGATCTAACGTCCCCAACAAAAAACAAAGAAACTGGTACGTAAACACAGTAATTTAGTATTCACTTCAGTAAGACAGACAGACAACCAATTAAGATGATCGATCCTCCTAATCTAAAAACCTTGACTTGTAATAAACACCTCCTTATCAAATACGAATTTTTATTAACTTATAATTAAAATTATCATATATATCTATATTTATCACCAAACTCCACCTGGAGCCCTTCTGGGGCTACTACCGGTCCCAAGCCCGGATAAAGGAGGAGGCCTGGGCATGAGGTTGGCGGCCCCATCCCATTAAAAAAGCTATCTCTCTAAAAAACGCTAACCGTAAAACAATATTTATCACCAGCTGATCATAGTATGAATCAACACTTTTTTTGTTATTCAATGTTCATCTCAACTATATATATATATATATATATATATATATATATATATATATATATAT